CCTCGGTGGCTCGCCGCGATCGTCTAATGGTTAGGACACTGCGTTGTGGCCGCAGTAACCCAGGTTCGAATCCTGGTCCCGGCATATTTGTTTTGTTTTGGTTTTTTTATTATTATTATTTGTTTGTTTTCTTTTCCTGTTTGTTTGTTTTTTTGCTCTTTTTCTTTTAAATTTTAAATCACTTCCAATGTATGTTTTAAAAGGGCTTAAGTTTCCAATATGTTACATGAAGCATAATGATATGAACTGAGAAAATTCAAATCACAAATTTACTTCATTTGTATTTCCGCAGTTCACCAATCACATCGTTTTCATGCCATGGTTTCTTCTTTCCTCGATGAAGTCAATAACTTGGGCTTCTCGCAATGAGCGAGTCTTCAAAGCTGAGTTGGTAAAAAAAACCCTGCTAACTCAGAGATCGTGGGTTCGAACGAATCTCGTTGAAGTTCAGAAAATCTGTTTCTTCGGGCTCAATTTGTTATTGCTTCAATTAATTATAAGTAGCGATTATAACTGCGATGGTCGCACTTCATTTCACTTAATTTGATTTAACATTTGTTGCACGTTACACAGCTGAACGGTAAGCAAACACTTGGAGAAAACATCGCCGATAATGGCGGCATCAAGCAGGCNTGATTTGATTTAACATCCGTTGTACGTTACACAGCTGAACGGTAAGCAAACACTTGGAGAAAACATCGCCGATAATGGCGGCATCAAGCAGGCTTTTCAGGTATGCTCCTCTTTGACCTTAAAGAACATTTGTTGTACTAGTAATATCATGATTTTATTCTCGAGATCTTCGTGCTTTCAGAGTTCTGTTATGTTTTAAGTTACTCGCTTTTTACTCAGGCTATATCCTCTAACTCCTAAATGTTATTGCCATGCATCCTTATTCCATTCGAGTTTAAAGGAGCTACGTCACGATTTGCGCATGTTGAAAGTTTAGCCTCACTTTTTTCAAATTCGTCATTTGTAATCCGTGTTGATCTTCTCCATCGTTAGCCATCCTTGTTCCTTTATAGTTTATCATTATCTCTTTGGTGTTCTTCTATCTTGTTAAACTGTTATTTTCAGGTTTCCCACCATTTAACGGTAATTTTGTATGTAGCCAAAATAACTCCAAATACCGTGACTGAGCTCCTTTGACAGGTTCTCCCTTAATTATTATTATTATTTAAACCTTAGTTTAGCTCTACTTTAGTTCCTTTTCGATTTAAAAAGTGTCTATTTTCCTTTTGGCATTTTATTTCCTCCTTAACTGCAATTTGTTCTCCATGATTACCTGGGCTTTTTTTTTTGGATTCCTTCAATTGCGACATGTCTCGCCTCTGTTAGAGCCGATCAATATTTCTCATTAGCTAAGAACGTGGTTCAGTTCGGCGTTATATCGCTTTATTTCTACGCCAACTGAAATACATACTCAATTCAGTTTTTATGAGCCTATTAATATGATGTTTGATTAATTACAGATCTTCTGTGCAGTCTTTAACATCGTCGAGCTAAAGCGCGAACAAACTCGTGCTCCTCCGTCGCTCTCGCACTCTCGCTCGCTCTTGCACGCTCACGCTCGCTCGCTCTCGCACGCACGATCGCTCGTTCTCTTTTTACTTAGCGGACAAAACGATTAACATAAACACACTGCAATCTTTCCGTCCTCAGGCCTATCAGAACTGGAAGAAGAGACGAGGTCCTGAACCACCGCTTCCTGGAATGGAAGATTTTACTAATGAACAGATCTTTTTCCTTGGGTTCGCTCAGGTTTGTGCAGGATTTTCCGCGCCCCTTTTTTTATTCTTTTCGCTTTTTTTCCAGGGGCACGTTTGCTATTGAAAACTTGCACCATATAGTCTTAAATGTAACAATTACGATTGGTGCTGGTGAGAAACTTAAACTTAGATCCAACGGTAGCCACTTTTGCTTCAATGGAAACAGCCACAAAAAAATAATTACTAAATGTTTTTATGCACTATAACAAACAAGACACCGTATTCTACATTTCAAGCGCCAATTATAAAATATGACGCGCAGCGAAGTATTTCATTGGCTGAAATTTTGTAAGTTGCATTTCTAAATAAAATAATGATGATGTTGAAATTTAAAAAAAAGATTAAAGGAACTAAATGTGGTGAAAGACTGTCTCGACTGTACATGTTTGATGTATCTTTTCAATCAAAGCTAAAACGAAGAAGAAAAGAGAGAAATAAAAGCAGTCAGATATTCACACCCCGTTGCGGTCACGATTTTCTTTCTATAGACTTGATGAATGATGAGCGAGTTTGAGAAATTTTACGGGCGTGTTAATCCTTATCAGGAAAGGTGCAAAGAAACCGAACATTTTTGTGCCATTAATTACATATTCTTTCAAGAAAAACTATCTTTGGTATTTTTGAAAACACTAGCCAACACTCACTTGAGTTTTTAAATGTACTCGTAGAACAATAGTACATTTTTGAACTTTCGACGAGTGGACAGCCTTTTGTTGTTTTTCACAGCCAAGCTTTCTTCGTAGGGAGACTTTTATTGATTTTAACATAATTGTAAGACGCCCAAGTGTCAGAAAAGCCAGCTGTAAAGACCATCCTGATCATCTCTGCCGTTTTTCCATTCCAGATTTGGTGTAGCAAATACCGTCCTGAGACAGCCATGAGACAGGTGGACTTTGGAGTACATAGTCCTGGAATGTATAGGTAACGCTTTAAATGATATTTCATGAAATACCCGCTGCACGTATGCCTCGACCTTTTGTTCTCGATGACCCCTTCCCCCTTGCCCCAACCCCTCTCATGCTTCCAGCCTGGGCAGGGGGCGAAGGAGCAGGGGAAAGGGGGGAAGAAGCAAGGGGGATTGGAAAGAGGGGACCTGAGACCTCCGTGTATTCTTCCCGTTGGTTTTCCCCTTTCATCCCAACAAGGATTTGATGTTCTCGTAAATGATTATTCGTTTGATTTTCCTCTCAGGGTTATTGGTCCTCTGTCGAACTTTGACGAATTCGCCAAGGCTTACAGATGCCCAAAAGGATCCCCCATGAATCCCGAGAAAAAATGCGCTGTCTGGTAACAAGCCCGTTTGTCATTTACCGTTGGTTTTCAGAAGATCTATTTCAACAGAGAGAGCTGTTTACTGATTGTAATGTAGGTTGACAGCGACGACAGAAAGACCCCTCTTCACACAAGTGACCAATATTTCTTAGTTTATGTGTAAACTGTAGCAAAACTCATTGCTTGCTATGACAAATCTTTACTGAGCTAACATTGTTCTAGCAGTGGGTAGCCTAGGGCTCAAAACTCCAGGTACAACCTTGTACAAGGGATGTTGAGTTTCCTTTTAACGTTGGTTTTTTTTACCTTGGAACGTTTGCATTGGTTTTCAGAAGATCTCTATCAACAGAGAGAGATGCTTATTATTTGTAATGAAGGCTGTCAACGACAGAAAGACCTCTAGCTTTTAAGACAAGCAAGCAACTTTCAATATTTCTTAGGTTAGCTATATAGGTGTATAAGTTGTACTGTAGGAGAACTAATAGCTCGGTTTGGCAAATGTTAACTGAGCNCCCCCCCCCCCCCCCCCCCCCCTCTCACGCTTCCAGCCTGGGCAGGAACCGTACCATGTGTGTGGGTGTGGGGCAGGGGGCGAAGGAGCAGGGGAAAGGGGGGAAGAAGTAAGGGGGATTGGAAAGAGGGGACATGGGACCTCCGTGTATTCTTCCCCTTCGTTTTCTCCTGTCATCCCAACAAGGATTTGATATTCTCTTAAATAATTATTCCTTTGATTTTCCTCTCAGGGTTATTGGTCCTCTGTCGAACTTTGACGAATTCGCCAAGGCTTACAGATGCCCAAAAGGATCCCCCATGAATCCTGAGAAAAAATGCGCTGTCTGGTAACAAGCCCGTTGGTCATTTAGCGTTGGTTTTCAGAAGATCTTTTTCAACAGAGAGAGCTGTTTACTATTTGTAATGTAGGTTGACAGCGACGACAGAAAGACCCCTCTTCACACAAGTGACGAATATGTCTTAGTTTATGTGTAAACTGTAGCAAAACTCATTGCTTGCTATGACAAATCTTAATTGAGCTAAGATTGTTCTAGCAGCGGGCAGCATAGGTCTCAAAACTCCAGGTACAACCTTGTACAAGGGATGTTGAGTTTACTTTTAACGTTGGTTTTTTTTTTCCTTTGTAACGTTTGCATTGGTTTTCAGAAGATCTCTATCGACAGAGAGAGCTGCTTATTATTTGTAATGAAGGCTGTCGACGACAGAAAGACCTCTAGCTTTTAAGACACGCAAGCAACTTTCAATATTTCTTAGGTTAGCTATATAGGTGTATAAGTTGTACTGTAGGAGAACTAATAGCTCGGTTTGGCAAATGTTAACTGAGCCAAGAGTTTTCTAGCAGCGGGCAAGCTAGAGCTCAAAATACCAGTTACAAACTTTTACAAAGGACGCTGAGTTTCCTTTTAACACCACTTTGTAATTACGACCAAATTTAAATGTTTTTTTTATTTTTTTTAATCACTCAATTGACAACTCTGCAGGAGAATTACAACCGTTGAGTTTAAAATATCTCCTTTACCAGCTTCTTAGTATTTCCTTCCCAATCTGGAACGCGGATCTCTTGCCATTCCACATGCGTAATATTTGCTTCAAGCCTTTTTAACTTATACCTATCAATATACCCTTCACTGTTACTGTTGTATCATCCGGCATGCATTATTTTGCATTTTAAAAACAGTTTTACATTATTGCTGTCAATTGCCAATAAATTGTCAATAAAGAACACCGTTTTTGCTTTAACTCTGCATTTTTC